TTTCGATTGTCACTTTAAGTTGGAAAAAACTCCCTTATACCTTTTCCGGGGTGTAGGAAAAAGGAGGTGTGACAGCCTGGCGACTCTACTGGGGACTGGAACCCAAAACTTCTGGTTCAGGGTTCGAGAATTCGAGCTTGAAATAATTTTTATAATTGTCTTTGTTTATTATCTGATTTTTACATGTTTGGGCGTAATGTGCTAAATGCTGCTTTTACCGCTTTGATATTATCTGAACTGTATATAAACTGCTACGAAACCCTTCTCTTCTCACCTTCGGGGATGTGCTCGCCGGTCGAGACTCCCTATTCTGTTAGTGTCATACCTTGAAATAAGAAAGGGGCTGGGACAAGTTACTAAGCCGGATGGCCTTTTGGTTCCCGGTACGTAGCCCCCTCCTCGGCTCGAGTTGTCCGCTCGGGTACACAGTCTAGAACAAATACCCAGGCTTTGAACCTAGAATAACTCAGCTTCATGCCGGATTCCTAATAGGAATTTTTGTGTGCATCATGTGCATTTGACTTTGGAGGCTCAACACAGGGGTTGGGTCTATCTAGGATAGGTGTACCAAAAATGAAAAAGACTATCCTGATGCATCTTACTTGCTACTTGTACATTTATTTTCTTCGGACTTGCATGCTGACCGGATTTTGAATATTTTGAGGAAAGAGAAATAGCAGTATGAGGGTTAAAGAGAGTTAATCGTCTGTTTTGAAAAAAAACCAATGTCCAACTAGTGCCGAAACTCTGCCGAATTTTTGAGAATTTTTTTTAAAAAAAAATAGAAAAAAGGAGAAGGAAAATAAAAAAGATTTGTTTTCAAAAATAGTTTGTTTATTTTGCCAGTAAAATGAAAAAAGAATCTTGTTTTCAAAAATAGTTTGTTTTATTTTCCGAACTACGTCAGTTTGATTCTCACAGGGTGTGGGATACATAGGCAACCCTCATCGGTTCCAACTTCTTTTTTGCCAAAAATAGCCCGAAACGAAAAAAAATAATAATTTATTTTACTGTAAATAGGTAAGGTGATGCCGTTTTTATCAAAAATAGCCGAATGTTCCCGAAAGGGACGCCAGAAGGCTGATTTCGCATAAACAGCCACCTTTGGTCTTTTTCCAATTTTTGGCCAGTTAGCAGGCACAACCTTAAAATCTCCCTCCGGAAGTACTGAAAGGCCGTATTTGCAAAGTTGGGCTTTTGGTTTTAGAAAAATAATCTGAAAAAAGGGTCAGTTTTGATTCAAAATAGAGTAAATCATGATTAATCACCTTAATAAATGTGCAGAATGAGCACAAGCCAGAATTTACCAGTAACAATTATGAACAAGATCCCTTTGGAGTTGCACATGTGGTGGGATGACTTGGGCAAATCAGGGCGAGACACGGTCAATCTATACTTGGGAGGCCTCGCTGGGTTGCTGAAAATTAATCCCAGAGGGGATATCATAAAGGCATTGGTCACATTCTGGGACCCGGCTCACAACGTATTTCATTTCTCAGATTTTGAACTTACCCCAACATTGGAAGAAATAGCCGGATATATTGGGGGTCCCAAAGTTCCTCTGAGACACCAGTACCTAATTGCTCCGAGGGCCATAGCCGTGCACAGGTTCCTAGACTCTTTGAAAATAAGTAGGGAGGTCCACAACCCAGACTTGGCAGCTGGTTTTTGTACTTTGCAGTTTATATACAACAGATATGGTCATATAGGGCGATTCAACAAGCCAGAAAACAAAATCTGCAGTAAGGGAAACCGCCTTAAGTGAGAAGAACATAGATGTTTTGCATTTATGGTGGTCTTTTTGGGACTTTTGGTGTTTCCTAGAAAAGATGGGAATATTGACATACGAGCAGACGGGGTTGTCAGCACTTTGTTTACTCAGGCCAACAGCACCCTCGCACCCATGATAGTAGCTGAAATCTTTCGCGCTCTCACAGCCTGCAAAGCCGGGGGAGACTTTTTTGAGGGGTGAAACATGTTGCTGCAGATGTGGATGATCGAACACCTATGCCGTCGTCCTCAATTATGAGTTATGGGTCGACATAGAAAACATGCATAGAGGAATTTTCTACGAGTGTTGATGGAGTCAGCTTGCCAGAAGGGGTCACAGAGTGGATAGCGCACCTCCGTTCTGTCACTGTAAGCCAAATAGAGTGGTCATTTGGATGGCTGCCTGTGGATGAAATCATATATATGCCAGCCACTGGACCCCATTTCCTTT